AATTTTATATAATTATTCTCTCAAAACAATATATTGAAAGTTCGATGTGCTTTTTACCATGGTTAAGTCAATTAACCATTATCTTTTATTACTTAACGGAATTCATAATTCTCAACAAATAAAATATCACTTTATTAAAAACTTAAGCACATATTTATGTTTTGAGCAACGCGAATATTGCACCGAGACCAACAGTTCCGGGCCAACTTCGATGGTTATTTTGAACATCCATCTGCAGGTCTTATTTATCCATTGTAACAATACGCCAAGATGAGACCGTTTCACGTTCGAACGATGTATCGGTCGAGGGAGGAAATATTGGATATTTCATACTGCTTGCTACAGCAGAGCTCCAATTTGAAACATCGTCGAATTCTGCCTTCCGCAAGCCTGTAACTGAAACGTACGCGATCGTTAATATATTGAAACATCGTTAACATTGTCAAAATTTCTAGCAAAATTTACTTTCAGCTTGTCACTGATAATTAATATCTGTTAAATCTACCAAAGTATTAATATACAAAATAATGTGTCAATGGTTCAAATTATGCTGTGATTGTTACACAAAGTCTAACAGGTAAAGTAGGATCAAATGAATGTATCAGTTCCCCAAGTTCAGGTCAGATTTTCATGAGTTTGCACCATGGAAAGAAGCCATTGGCTTGAATTGGTTCTTGAACTGAAAGGAATTATTCTTCTCTTTTAAATCTTCTCATTAAGTATAACATTTCTTTGCAATGCTGTTTATTATTCATATATATTATTTGTAATTTGTTTAAGAATAATATATTTGATGAGTTTACTATATATTTAAATTTTATTAAACTAATTAAGAAAAATTCTTCCTATCTGACTCTTCCTATTAATAAATAAAACAAGATAAACGACCTTTTTAATCAATACGATACACTACAGCAGATAATTATGTAGCCTAATAGCCTTAAGTAGCTAATATTCTATTACACCTGTATCCTGGGAGTTTATCCTTTTACTATTCTTCACTACTGTCAATTTTTCTTCCCGTTTCCGTCGATATTCTTGAGTAATCTGCTCCAAAGTTTTAGTTAAAGCCAACTGTCGAGAGAATTATATTAATCTGTATTACATAAATCTATAACAATTACATTGTATCTATGATTATAAACACACAAAATATGTAGTTTGATCACTTTTCTCATTAAGTTAATATTATTATAAATATTGTAATAATTTCACATTAATATATATTAATAATATTGCAAAAGTAATAGAGATATGATTGAGATTATAACAATACCTGACACATCTTCAGGCGGGAGATGCAGTTGGGCTCTGACCCCGGATTGTCCTCTGCACCTTTGGTAGCGTCGTGTTGAAAGCACTTGCCCTTGCTCGTGCTGGCCTTCCGACAGACCTTGGACAGCAGATCCGTGCGGTCGGCGCGGAAACTGTCGTGCAGGAATTCGTGGACGTGTGGATTGTGCAAGCCGTAGATCGGATCGCGAGTGTGCGTATACGTCACTTTGCGAAAACCGTAGAGATTCAGCTGCCTGATGAAGCTCGTGATGTTGGTGGTCTTGAAGATGGGTCGTCGCGCGTCCAGATACTCCGTCTGGAATCTCTTGTAATCGAGCAGTATGGTGTCGCCGTTTGGGCCCCATTGGATCGCGCCGCTTTTGCACTCGTTGACGATTTTCCACAGCTTTTGCGGGAATCGCATCGATTGCAACACACAGTCCTCGTACATCCTCGCCGTTATCTCGAGATCGTGGCGGCAATACGTTCGCCAAGAGAGATCGTTCGGTTCGAACGCGGATCGAGAATGTTTCGAACGCGTCTGGCCGCGTATCGTTGCACGTGCAACTCGCTTGATCCTGTCTTGAGAGAAACAAACAAACCACTTTCGATACAAGAGACTGTCGCGTCACGGGGACAATAATCTTGGCGGTTCTCGGGAAAAAGGCGCAAACGGTGGTCGCAAGCCGCGACAGTTCGTTTCGTATCCAAGGGTCTGTTTTCTACTGCTCAATTGGCTGTACTAGTTCTCTCTCATCTTTCTTCCACCAAATTTATATATCTTTATATCTGTTTTTTTTTTAAATTCCAAAAGTGCACTAATACACTAGTTCAGCAATAGAAAACAGAACCATCCTCCGATTCTTGCCGCCCGATGCTGAATTGTTTTGTATTCCTTTCCTCGCATCCTACTTCGCATCTCTGTCTTATCTTTGCGATTCATGAACGTAAGAAAAAATTTATGCGATGTCATGTCTACAATAGTTTCGCCTCTATGAAGTTAAATTTAATGTATGTAAATTGTGATTAATTCACGTTATTTTAGAATATATATGAAGACTTTTAAAAGACAATCTTCAAATGAAGAGAATATATGACCTGCAGAATCATATATTTGTCTAATCGTCATTGTTTGGCGCGAGTGACAATTTGTATAATTCATGGGAGAATCTTGTTTAGGTTTTTACGTTACCACTAATTCACGTAAAGTCTAATAATTTTGCTTTTAAAACTGCGATGTTTGTCGCTTATATTAGTATTAACAGTTCCTCTTAATGTTTAGTCGATTAATCTATGTAAATGAACAAAAGTTATCCTAATCTTAAACGACTTATAATTAGAATCATTACTTTGTGTGTAGAATGTTTTTTTCACGAGGATCGTTTTTTTTATTTGCTTTCATCGATTTTCTTCAGCGTATTTCAAATCGTATCGGGAAGAGACGGAAAGGTATGATGAAATTATCGAGTGTTTCAACTTTCGTTAACTTTTAATGGAAATTATAGTTACAATACTATTAATATTACAATTACCGTACTAGAAACGATAACGTTCGCGTAAATTAGTTTCAATATGCTTCCTACTCACTCTTCTTTCAAGTCCTACTTTATAAATTTTGCAAAGTCAAGTTTGCACGTATCAATATAGGATCGCAAATATGAAAGTTGCGCGCTTCCACCAATTCACTTTGACGATTTACTAATTATTGATTATCCAAATAGCGATATATATTTTGAAAACACCAATAAAATATGTGAAAATAACTCTAACATAAATATTAATGTTATCTTATCAATATTAAAAAATCTTAGTGTTCCAAGCTTTCGTGCATTCTTTATACGACAGATAGTGTTTATGGCTATTTGAAAACGAAATTTGATCGTTATCATGAAGATCTGAGTAGTCTAAGCATATGTTTGTACCATGGTAGTTCAGAGGTATCCAGTTTGTGTGTTACCCCTTGTTCACAACCATGCTTTAATCTTTAAGCCGTAAGATATTGATTATTTTCAAAATATTCGACTGTGATTGATCAATTTCTTATGGCTTAAAGATTAAAGCAAGGTTGTGGACAAGGGGTAAATCCATGGACGTAGTATACATGGACCCCGCATACGACAAGAAAAGTGAAGCCAATATGTACAGTCCCTCTCTGTTCTCTGTCTCTTTCTACACAAAGTGTGCAATAAAATTTAAATAAGATTTTTACTTGCCAATCTAGTCGGGGTGCTGTTGCGCTCTATAATAGTATGGAAATTAAAAATGGATACACGCGCAATAAAAAAGTGACAAAATAGGAAAAAAATTATAGCCCCTCTATTTTAGCTCTCTTTCTAGATGTTGGCTTCACTCTATTAGACAGAACATAGGCATTCGGAGTCCATATATATTATGTTCATGGATAAATCGATCAACCATCCATCGACTATGATCAACTGATTAAAACGAAACACTCCGGAATCGGTTTTCTTTTCCAACTCTTTAGCTCAAGATTCTTAACAAATTAGGATACTACTAAAAATCAACCCTAAATCTATGGCTGCGTTTGGATATTCATTGTCAGTACTGAAAATCTATGATGGCCCTTCTACAATAAGCCATTAGTCACAAGCCGCAAGCAAATTGACCAATCACAGTTGATTATTTTCAAAAATAATCGACTGTGGTTAGTTAACTTGCCTATGGCTCATGATTAATAACTTAGGTTGCATTCCAAAACGTTCTTTTTGAGGAAAATTTTACTCAAAACCTCAAGTCACATTACATAAACTATAGAGAGTATCAAATCAAATTTCCTCAAAAAGGATGTTAAGAAACGCAACCTTATTGTAGAAAGCCCATGACATACGTAACACACGTTTATTTTCATGTTTATTATTATTCCCGCCAAATGACACGATGATACGAAAAGAGACTTACGTCTTTAGGTACGTACTTAGGCTAAGTTCATCTTACATGTTTATGCTGAGAGCATCGTTCTATCTTTATTACTCATTACATACTGAAGAAAGATAGAGTTGTGTGTTCAGCACGACAGCGTGCAAGATGAACTTAGCCTTAATATTCATAGTTTTTTAATTGATACGTGGTATATACCATAGTGAACTCCGAGACAACTTCACTTCACTGGAGTGTTACTTCACCGAGTGTTCCTTACTTCACTCGAGACGTTTGATCTGTTTCACACATTTCTTCGATTCATTTCGCGCGCATCGTTTCACTCACGCTTGCTTCAGTAGTCGAAGTTCGTGTATTTTTGCTGTCATTGCATTCCGTCGATCAGTCGGACTGCACCGGAAGAGTTTGCAGATATTCGTGAGGGACCGCGGGAGCGGGAAGCAGATAGCCATCCGGATCTAAGACATCCGGAGTGCGTATCGTCACCGGTCCTTGCGGCGGTCTCGGCAGAGTCCCTTGCTGGATCAGTTTGCCCTGCGCCTTCTCCAGCCTCTCCAGGATGTCGGGGAACCTGATTCGATCCTGCGGCTTACTCTTCCAACAATCGCGCATTATCTGGCAAACGATAGGCGGGCAATCGTCCGGCGGCATCAGGATAGTTCCTTGACGTATGAGTTTTAGGACCTGAAATCAAGATACGTCGCACTTCTGTTGTAGGACTGACTGAGACGTACACGGAAAAGAAAAATACAGTGCATATAAGCAGAAATATTTAGCTGTGAGCAGCATGATAGCATTCCAGACAGCACAAGACCTCCAGAGGATGTTCTGAGGACATTCTCAGGATGTAGGAACGTTCTCAGAATGTCTTTAGGATGTCCTGTGGAGATCTGTGCTGTTTGGGATAGTTATCTTTGTGTAACGGTGATATGTATGGTTGATACGACTTAGTTACTTTGATACATCAATTATATCAATATAGTGCGACCTGATTATGACAATAAGAAATTAATTGAAGTGATTTTACTATGGAAACACTCTGATTGGAACAACCAAATATTGTCACTGCTGTAATGGCAGTAACTCAGCTCTGTGATTGTTGTAACCACATAATTAGTTGTTACATATTTTGTTATTAAATCTGGTTGGTACAGATTTATGTATGGTCCAATTTCATGCTGTTTTTTTTCATGCAGAAATCCATGGAAAAAAAGATACAGTACACAAGATATAGTATAACAAGAAATATTTAGTTGTGAGCAGTATAGCTGCATTATCATAGTTAATTTTGTGTTACACTAATGTGTGTGGTTGATATGACTCAGTTATTAACACATCAACCATGTTAATGTAATTGTGTGTAATCTGATTGTAGCAATTAGATATCGTCACTGGCTGTAACACCAGTAACTCAATAATTGCTCTGTGGTTGCTCAATTACTCAATTAGTTGTTCCGTGCCTTACTATTAAATCTGCTTGGCACAATCAGTTTTATAAGCCAATCATACTATTTTTTTCTATGCAGGAATGGAAGTTTTATCATTGTCACTCACCTCTTCGTTGCTGTGGCCGTAATAGGGTATCTTCCCGAACGAGAAGACTTCCCAGAGGACAACGCCGAAACTCCAGACGTCGGTTTCCAGAGTGAAGCGCCCGTACATCACGCTTTCCGGCGACATCCATCGAACCGGCAACAAACGCGTTCCTCCGATCTGAGAAGTACCGTTTTCGGCAAGGACAAGGTCAGCACGGATTTCTCACATTTGGAACATCACGATCGCGATCGTCTCATGTACAAATTTACCTTATAATAGTCGCATGTGTAAACGTCCCGCGACATGCCGAAATCGGCGATTTTTACTAGCAGATCCGCGCCGACCAGGCAATTTCTGCACGCTAAATCGCGATGCACGAATCGCTGCGCTGACAAATAAGTCATACCGGCCGCGACTTGAATCGATATCCAATGTAGGGAATCCTGTAAGAAAGAAGTTTGAACGATTATTTTTACCGATGAAATCACTTCATTTGCCACGTTTGCCGCACGCACAATTTGCAGCTGCTTTGGATCAAGCATTTCATTTTGACTTTTAAGGCTTCTGGTTTCCAGACCGTAGTCATCTTGATTTATCTATTATCTTGATTATGACATCAGAAGCGAAAAAATGCACACGCTAAAAATTCTTGCACAATACATATGAATAAAAAGATGTATTAAAAACGACGTAACTGATCGAGCAGATGTGTAAAATAGTCCGAACATTTTCCTTTTGTTCTATTAAGTTAATGTAATTGTTCTATCAAGTTGTTTATCAATAAATAACTATAAAATTAATGTGACAAAATTCTGAGAAAGTGAGTTAAAAAGTTGAGTTGCGTTAATTTTATGGTAATTTATTGATTGTTAGAGTAAAAGGAAAGCGCTCGGATTTTACGGATATACTCGATCGATTGCAAGTGTCATTTTATAGGTATAACTTTTTATTTCAACATATTTTGCAGGAACTTTTCTCGTATATTTTCTTGTCTCTGATGTCATTAACCGAGAGTTCCACGGCAAGGAGTCAGAAGCCTGAACATTTGAAACATACGCGGTGTTCGCAAAAAACTCGCTAATTAGTCGTCGATTGCGACACGGTACGGTACCATCGTTAACGACTGTAGTCCGCAGTTCGGCGATCTCAACTGCCGTGAGTTCGCTCGCAGTACTTTGGCGAGGTCACCATGTGGCATATATTCGAACACCATACACGGGCTGCTGGCGGCGTCGCGAAGCACCACTCCTTTCAGCGACAAGATGTTCGTGTGACTGAATGTGGACATGATGTCTACTTCTCGCATAAAGTCCTCCTCGGTCTCACGCGTCGCGGTATCCTTCAGCACTTTCACGGCGACGATCTCCTTCGTGTCTCCGTTGTGCCATTCACCTATAAAGTTTCCATCGTGAGAGACCTAACGATGAGCGAAATCGATCGTAGAATCTAGCGTGTACCTTTGTAAACCTTGCCGAAACATCCTTCGCCGATATCGTCCTGGAAAACGAGTGTGTCGCGTTGTATGATGGAGATTTCCGGCGAAGTGCACGTGAAATATTGAGGATTCGGCGTGTACTTGTTCGGCAACAACATCCCTTTCTTCAGATTTATCGGAGTGCTCTAACAAAATATGATGATAACGAGATGATAATCCACTAAGAATTATTGAAATGTGGTTATTAATCTTAGAATATAAAGGCTTTACAGAAAAAAGTCGGAGAGAGAAAGAGAGAGAACTACGATAACAGAGACAGAGACAAAAATGATGTCTAACAGATCTTCCCGAGAATATTATCTGAATGTAGATTAATCTTAGAGTGAATAATATCTTAGGGTAAACGTTATCTCGATGGAAGAAATACGAGCAACTTACATCCAGAGAAGTTCTCTGAGATTTGACTCTGTAACTGCGTCTTCTCACGCAGTATACGATGCTCAGTATAATCATGATTCCCACGGCGAAAGCTACAGATATTCCTATTATTTCAGATACTTTGGGCCTCAGTCCGCTTACCTATCGTGAGAATTGTGATTGATCCTCTTACATTCAATTTTAATTTATATTTTCAAGTAAGCAGACGTCTCCAATTGATACAAATATTGCGCTAAATCTTATTGACTAATAAGAAATTTTTTTTCAACTCGATAATTATAATAAATGGGGAAAGTACCTCTTCGGTCTCCGGGAGTTCAGTCGTGCTGTTTGTATCGTTATTCGGTGGTATTATGTTGTGTATAGGACGAGGTGTTAATGGAACTATGGAGAAAATTTTCAATTACTCATTTTATACATATATTAATATTCTAACTTGGACTCTGCTGTGCACTATTTGCAAAATAGTCGAAGCTTTACCAATTGATCGTATCGGACATTTCAGGTCCCGCGTAGGTGGGGACATATCATGAGGACAGATGCAGTCTGATGTGTCCCCCAAGTCGCGGCAGGCTGCCTCCATGCCGCAAATGTCCGGATTTTCCTTGCATCCTTTGATCTCGGCGAATTGCATTGGCTGCTCATCAGATTCGTTCGGCGGTGGCTCTACAATAATATTACGGAAATCATTGGAATCGCAATTTCACGTATGCTCGATGCTTCGCAGATACGAAGCTTCACCGATGAAAAATGTATTGCGATTGGAAATGAACAATACGAAGAGGCGACGACCATCAGTTGGCGAATTAAACATGTATAGTAAATGTTCTTCGTTTTAACAGAATGTAAAAGGTAACTCGCGATGTGTTTTATTTTTGACAGATTCGCGATATGGTCAAAAATCTCTTTTCGTGGCGCATAAGGAAGAAAAGAACTTAGAGAGATTGAAAGAAAGAAAGGTTGAAAAGAATAATTTACTTATTTTTTGTTTGCAGTTGGAAAATAGTTGGTAGCAAATATTCCTAAGGGATAAGAGAAGCAGTTCCTCAATCTTCAAGATAGAAATTACACGAAGGCAAGGAAATCACGCATAAGTGTGACAGAATACAACGTGGACCTTTGGTGTTTTGCGTTTCCTGCACGATGGTTTCGCGGTGAACGCGCGGGACCTTCGCCGCTGGCGGCGGCAGCGGCGACGCGCCGGCGAGTAAAGAGAGATGCTGTTGGATTCGCAGGACCATCGCAAACGGACTGTAAAGGGCAGCTAGGGAAGAAAAAGGGCTACATATTTGGATTGGGCACAGGAAGATAGAGACAGTGAAGGCATTCATTTGGTACGTGGAGCTTGTAACGGGTCAAAGCGTTATCTCTGCGGTCAGCGCTCCCCGACAACGAGTCTCGCTATGTGTACCTATTATCGCCCGTATTCCTTCGCCTTTCAAAGTATCTCCGCAAGATTTCCCGTATTTACGAGATCGTCCGTTTCTACGCGCGCACGATCGATGCCGCATTTCGACGATGAGCTCGCCGAGATGACGACGCCGTCGTGGTTTCCCTGTACGGTGGTAAAACACACAACCCGAGGCCAACGTCGCAATCGCGTGACGGGGACGCGCGATCATCAGCGAGGTAATCTTCTTCTTCATCGTGACATGCGTCACATATCGGAGTACTGTCCATTTTAAGGGGGAGCTTTCGGATACCGCGGGTGATCGCGACGGTGATCGATTCTCGCGATTTGTTAATTTTCGCTTCAACAATAATACTGCTGCTGCACCGCAATCAATTATGCCGACACGGATATCGCGATTTTCACATTTACGCTATATTATTATTGACCTCTGCTCTTTGCCATTATATGCGCGACATAGAAAGCACTATTGGCTTCGCCGGCTGACCCTCGATAGCACGAGTAACGCGTAGTAAAGTCAGTCGGAAAACGATTGTTTTAGTTTACGCCGTTTGCTGAGGGATACTCGCGCATCTGAGCAATTATGATACAACGCGAGATCGCGCGAGAACTGCGATGATTTTCTCAATTGTAATGGGACTCGCACAGCAGAGAGCGTTGTGCTTTCCAGCGCGAAAACTATTCGCTTCTCAAGGTTGCGGCATCAAGGAACAATCGCTTCGGGATCGCTTTCGTGTTAAAATTAAGACAAGGAGTCTCGGGACGCTTCACGCATAAATATTGAATTCGAATCAGCCGTGGGATATCTCGCCGGCGATGGCCGTTTTGCCAAGCCGACGGGTGCTTTCCGTTGAATAAAAACGCAACAGATGGTAGCGACATTCGATCCTAATTGAATCGGACATATCGCCGTCCGATTGTTTTCGTTGCTTGATGGTAAATTTGGAAAGTTCGACGCGATCACGTGCGCCGAGGCGCGTTTATTTGCAAATCCGAGCTTTAGGCCAAAGGCTACAATGGGAGGCATTATGCGCGCGGGCGTCTCGTCCTGCCTAAACCGTGTGCGATTCATGAAGGGGTCGAGAAAGAAAGAGAGAAAGAGAGAGAGAGAGAGAGAGAGAGAGAGAGAGAGAGAGAGAGAGAGAGAGAGAATGTGTGTGTATGTGAGAGAGAGAAAAAGCGAAAGAGATCGATAAATGATGAGGTGCTCGCGAAATAATATGCAGATATCAAATATATGACAAGACTGGGTTTTTGTACGATTATCGTTAGCGCGACAGATGTTATATTTAAATCCGAGATGAAACTTTTCTCGTGTTTATTATCGTGCGTGTCGTTATCATCTTGAACTTCGAACCTCTGTAAGGATCAAAGGTACCAATATTTCTGATAGTGTAGTGGGAAAAAGATCGGCCTTCATTTATTCTGAAAAAAAAAGAAATATGTTCTACATATGCTCATAACATAAGTCAATCCAGCCGCTCCCGTTAATCTTGCCGACCGATTGACTTGATGTTTTTTTTCGTCGATGATAAGTTTCCCCGTTTTTACGTATCCGATACACGTGAAACGTCATCATTTCAGTAAAGCATCGTTTCAATCGTTATCAGTTCAGCTCTTATCGTAAGCGATGAATATAATTTGTAAAGTAATTACATCGTTATCGTCTTGGTGGATTCACGATATATACTACCCACAAATTACTGCGATCTAATTAAATTTCATACAAATTAGATGACTCCTGATCGTTCCGCGAACCTATTAACCTAATGAGAAGAGAGAACAAGCCACCGTGTGTATACAGATTCCTCAAAGAAACCTCGGGAATCTCCAGCGCGAATTAGTAAGTTACAACGCGTATGTCAAATCAAGTCTCGGAAATAACAATTCAATCGAATAGCAAGACGAATATCCTATAGCGCTCATTTCATCGCGTATATCACGAGTACAGGATTGCGAAAGAATCGAGTTGATGAAGAAACAAATCGACCGAAATGTTTGTCGATATTTTCACAGACGAGACGCGCGTCTCTCACCTGTTCGCATCCTCTGAAAGAGGGGATCTCTTCTCCTCCACTTTTTTCGTGGCCGCATCGTGCGCGTGCTCATAGATAAACAGCCGGTGAACGAATGAAACCACCCTCCGGCCGGAGGAAACAATTCTTCGCACTTTGTTTGTTACACTTTACACGCGTTCTCTTTCGCTACGAGGTGCCAATTACCATTGACGCGCTAATTGCATCGGTATTACTTCCAGCTGGAGAAAGAAGAGGAGGAATCGGCTTGGCTACCCCATCGACGAGCACCGCGGATCTCGGACATTTCTACGGAGCGAGGCCTTATCGAAATCCGGAATTGCCTTGAACGATTGCCCTGGCTCGTGGCGAAACATCAATAAAACACCGTGTCGCTCACGTTGCACGTGTTATTATGTATGATGCACGGACAGATTGACTCGTTAAACGGATTTCCTCACGCCTTCATCCTCGTCGCGCGTTCCCAATCGCCGGTTTAGATCCGCGGAACGTCGCTCTAGGATCTCTCGGAGGATCCTTGTCGCGAATCGCCGTGGTGCCGGCCGAGATCGATCCCGTAATAACACCGGGTCATACTGTCGTGTTGCTGGAGAACGGAAGTCTTTTGAGCACGCCCTTGAGGATAACGACGTCGTAGGTGGATGTTAAAACTTTAAGCCGGAAGCCAAAATCTCGTAGCCGTCCCGGGGTGACTCGGCAAGGGAGACGACGTGTAGGAGTAGACGGAGTGAGTATTCTCACTTCGATGAATGCTTAACAGAAACTGAGGACCGCCTTCGAGACTCCCTCGCTTCGCTACGCGCACGAAGCATCAGCGATCGCGTGCGTATGTGTTTGTGTGCGTACGGTATATCTATATTGGTATACGCGTGCGGTCGTATGCACGTGTACGCACACCACACGGGAACATATACGAGACTTTAATTCGATTCATCATCTCTTGTCTGCTCGACCTACGCCATCGTCAAGAAAAAAAAGAAAGGAAAAGGGAGCCGACAGCGGTGCCTGTATACTTCCGGATTTATCAGGGGAGGACTCGCGTCTTTGCCGATGTCAGGTACCTCACATGCACCGAACGCAATCACGTCCACCTACATGATCGCCAAAATGAATCTGTCGAAGAAGTCAACTTTCCGCAAAAATCTCGAGCGAGATGCATCGCGAGATGGCGCGTTCTCAAGGCAACTTCGGATTCGAGAAAAATGTTAAATACTCTATCTGAAGACAATAATTAAATCGTTCGTGTGGTTGAGCACGAAGCGGTTGATGCGCGCGGCATCCTATCGATACGTTCGCATTGCCCGTGTAACACCCGTCGACGTTATCAACAGCTTATCATTTATTTATTCTCAACACAATAGTATGTGAAGATATCTTCTGTCCATTTTTCTATTTTTGTAAATTTGAAGAGGATTCGTACGCTACGGCTATCAGATCCTTATCCCGTAATCGAGATCGCAGTCGTCGCGATTAGCACTTTTTAATTTAAAAGTTCAATGACGGTGGCTTACGTTAGCGAGTTAGATCATGTCGATGGGAAAGTACGCCGCGATTCTGAGATCTCGTTTATCTTCGTAATTTTTTACGCTAGATTTTGTATCTCAATAACGATTTCTTCTTTTATAATGAGAAAGAACAAAGTGTGTATTCTCTCGATCCGAACGCTATTTATTTCCTCCTTCAGGCGGTAACTGGCGTAAATGAAAAATTTGATGTTCGTTATCGTGATCAGCCTGATACATTATTGCCTAACGAAGCGCCGCCCCCACTCCCTTTTACTCTTGGAGAACAACTCGACTTTTCAGCTTCCAATCATGATAAACAAGTCGACTCCGACTCACGAGAACACGACTGTTCGTACAGAAGTCGTGCACGCGGTTGCTGAATGTGTGTTTGTGCCTCGATAAATGCGTATCTACTGTATGCACATAAGCGTCCGTTCCGAAACTCGTAATTGCATTCAACGTTGATGTAGCGTACCTCCAAGTAACGATTGCGAAGAAGTCGTCACCGTTGTTGGCGAGTTATCGTCGCGTGCAGCAATAACGGGATCGCGAACGTCAAAATCCAAGCAGAGCTAACACACTTGTGCATTTATCTTTGTGATAAAGGATAACTAATCGATTATAATTTATAACTTTGAGGCAATAATCTCGCAATCTCCAGCTCAACTACACGGAAGTCTGATTGCGCTTTGAAAAGTCAGGTCGCTTCAATGGGAAAATTAGTAAATCTCTCACTGAGAGAGAAAGAGAGAGATATGTATTCAAAGCATTTAGCTCGATTAATAAACGATGTCAATATCTTTGTAATGCGAAGAGATAGGAAGAGATTTTAAAAATTTAAATTAATATTAGTTTTCTTTCATTCTTCTATTAATTGTTATCCTTTTTATTTGAATAATTGTTAGCTAAGTACGCACTCAATCTCGCACTGAAAAACAAATTTCTTTCGGTTCTCCTTTGCAAATCGATTATATTCTTGTATGCTGGTTTATTTTACGAAGTGAATAGCAACGGTCCGACGCCGTTTCCATGAATGACGCCGTGCGATCGGACTCAAAATAATTCTGAAGACCATCATCATCGGGATATTAACATGTGGGATCAATGTCGTATCCGTTCTCGAAAAGTTGACCGTTCTTGAAAAGACAACCTTCCGGTTTAAGGCTCCTGGAGTCTCATCGCATCATCCATCTTTTTAATGACGTCAGAAGTGAGAAAACGCATGCTAAAAATTCTTGTAAAATACGTCGAGATAAATATATATATTTACAAAACGACATTTGCGATCGATTAAATATACTTCGATTAAAAATACTCCGTACACTTTTCTTTTGTTCTAAAAATCAATAGATAATCGGAAAATTAATATGACAAGATAATGAGGAAATTAGATTAGAAAAAACGATTGCACGTCACATTTATTTTATAATTATCTCTTGATTGTTAGAATAAAAGGAAAGTGTACGGAGTATTTTAGAGGTGTACTTAATCGATCGCAAATGTCGTTTTGTGGATATATCTGTTTATCTCGACGTACTTTGCAGGAATTTTAGCATACGTTTTCTCGCTTCTGACGTCATTAAAAAGAGATGGATGATGCCACTCCCCAGGAGCCTTAACCGGGGATTCGTGGAGCAAATCATTAATATTGCGGGTAGTTTACAGTTTTCAAGAGATCAAAACACGCACGCAAGTAAACGAGAAATGGGTCGAAAAACAAAGGTCGTCGAGGGAGCAAGGGGCCAAGGGGGACACGTTAATAGTTTCCGAAGAGCCTCCTCCCCGTCGGAATGGCGTAAGTGTTGTATATTTACACTGGCGTTACAAGCTCACACCTGGACGCAAGAATAGCGCCGGGGTTCTTCTTCTACTTCCACGAAGTATTTTCTCGAGCCGTACATCAACCCATACGTTTGACAAAAGCGATCGCCTATATTTCCGTCCCGATGCATTAAATGCACAGTTATTTCAGTAGAGGCTTAATGTCCGCGGATAACAAACGAATTTCAAACGTCGGTCGAGCGACACACCCTCGATGATAATCCCACAACTGGTGAGTGATAAGCCGCTCGCTCGTTGTTCTTTAAATTTAACAATCAGTGATTGAGATAAACGAACGCGTTTTATCAGAGTTGCGTGTGTAGATCTATGAATGAAATTTTTGATCTTACAATTGAATGAAAACCTTCTACTCGAGATATCGTTCAAGTTACTCGAAGACTGATTGAGTTGTCCAATTCTTTGAACTCACACGAGTGTCTCTTTGTGATTTTAGGAAAAAAAAGATTGAAGATGAGAAATTGGAGGAACTACTCAACAAAAATTCTTGTCGAACGCAAAAGGAGTTTGCTGAAGAACTGAGAGTCACTCAAGCTATTTCTATACGTTTAAAGAAGCTCGGAAGAGTACAGAAGAAAAGTTGTTGAGTTCCTTATTACTGTCTTACTCCTGAAAACAAAATTCAACGCTGTGACATGGCATACGCATACCCAAAAGGAAGTCCTCTACCCTATACTGACGTTGCATTGAGAAAAAGGGAAGGGTGCACGCAGGGTGGCTCACACCCGTCGAACGTTGCGAATTGTCGTCAGAGTGTTCGACAGCCGTACGACATAAAGTCAGCGTGCGTGCAGACGGTGGGCCGTAAGAGAGGGCGGTCTAAAAAAAATAAAGCAGCAGGCACGAAGATGAGAGTTGTTTGTGTTTCCACGCGAGATGGGTGATTTCTAAATGACAAGAGACAACTGGAATAACTTGCATTTCGGAACAATACTCCGTGGAATCGGAAACGATAGTAAACCGTTCATGAGCGACTGGCTACAAAAAGGCGGAGAATGGGGCGGTCCTAAAGATATCCTTAGAAATGAGCATGTGTCAAGTATGTAACATATCATGAAATTCGTCTATTACGATAACATATCTGGGAGAACTAAAAAAATGAAGAGTTAGTTTCTAATGCTTAAAAAAGACTTATTAGATACCACATGGAGAAAGAGATAATTTGTGATGTAGTAGTTATTAAAAAATATACGTTAAAAAAGCACAATAAAAAATTATGTAAGAAAAATTAAATAATTATACTTTTAGAAAACTTTACCAAGTTAGGTGAGTAACAATTTATTAATATACTGATCACAATTAGTTGATAGAGTCATACTATATATTTTCATATTTTACCTTAAAATATAAGCGATATATATATATATATATATATATATATATATATATATATATATATATATA